TCCACAGCCACTCCACATCACCAAACATCCATCCCAAGAGCCCAGCAGACAGGTTGGAGGGAGGTGGACACAGCAATGCTCAGCTCAGAGCCGAGACACGCTCGACAACCGACGGGAGTTGTGCGTTTCCCACTCCCTCCAACCTGACCCCAAATTCCTGTGCGAGGAATTTGCAGGGATTTTGAATTCAGAGCCAAGAAGGGAAGGGAATGAAGGCTGGGAGCTGCTGGGAAGGCAGCCTGCCTGCAGGGAAGCTCTTAGGTGCACAAAAGGAGCAGTCATCCTCGTGTCAGCTCCCCGGAACGGACGCAGCGCCCTTCAGTGAAAAGCATCCGCGTTTCTGGCAACGAAATAAGGCTTGTGGGGTTTGTTTCTTTAAAAAGAAAACACACTTCTCCGTGACAAATCATTTATCACCAAGCTTCAACCGGCACAGAGTTCCTAATAAAGGGTTTTGTGTCTTGGGTAGAGCTACCTACAGCAGCGCCGGGAAGGGAAACGYGTCCCACTGCCCCCTCAGCACTCAGCAGAGATCCCAAAAAAAGCCAGGAAAGTTCAGCATCGATTTCCAAGCTCGCTGCCCCCTTTCCTTGGGATACATCTTGATAGGAAAGCTCCTTAGACAGGAAACCTTTCCCAGTTGGCTGCCTGATGTACTCCAGCCCAGGTCGTTAAGCCTTTTCCTCGTTAAGGGCTGGCCAAGCCTCTTCTCCTTCTTCCCTTTGCCTCCGACTAATGGGATTAATGTTCAGCTGTGTGGTCCAAACACGCTCCTCCCCTCTCCCTCCTGCTGCCACCCAGGCCAGAAAGCAAGGCTCTCTTTTTTTTCTGCTGAATCGGGCGTTTTAAGGCAATCTGAGCCGGCAAGGAAACGAGGCGGCGCCGAGGGAGGAGGAGGCGGCCGGAGGTCACGGCAAAGCTGGAAAGAAGACACACAAAAAAAAAAAATAGAAAGAAGGGGGAATGGCGTGGGGGGAGAATAGATAGGAGGAAATAACGCTCAGGGGGAAGTATTTGCTGCCTGTATAATCCTGGGGTTTTGCTCCCCCCCTCATTAAATTGAATTAATTTGGCAGGGAACCCCACAGTGGCTTCCCCCTGGCAGGAGGATTTAATAARGAGAGGGGAGAAACGTCCAGAGAGTGAGTTTAAGGGATGCTGAGAGCATCCGACCATGGGCACCAGAATAAAGTGACAGAGAATAAAATATTGTGATGAAGGTGTTGGTTTCTTCATTTTCCTTATTCAGGACTTCACCCATCTTCATCCCATCACTCTCTAATCCCACAACTCCTTCCCTCCCTTTGATAATTTCCCTATTTTCCCTATTCAGAACCAACCACTTCACCCATCTTCATCCCATCACCCTCTAATCCCACAAATCCTTCTCCTCCGTGTAGATAATTTCCCTATTCTCCCTCTTCAGGACCAGCCACTTTACCCATCCTTCACCCCATCACCCTCTAATCCCACAAATCCTTCTCCTCCATGTAGATAATTTCCCCTCCGTTGCTGCCCACACAGCAGAAATTACACCCAAACCAACAAAAACCCACCCAAAAATATCTTTATAACTTGGTATTCCAGATCTGAGCCTTTCAAACATTTTCCAGCACTGTAAAGGAGCACTTACAGAGAAAGAAATAAACAGAAGTGAGGATAAAGCACAGGAAATAAAACAAAACTGGGAGAGAGAGATCCTTGAGCAYGGACAGTATTTACAGACATTCAGGTGCTGGAGGAGCAAAGCTCCCTCAAGGTGACTGGATCAATAAATATTGATCCTTCCACATCTCTCAGGACTCAGGGAAAATGGATGTTTTTATCTTAAAAAGGAACARAAAGGTGTAGGGAACCAGCACAGGCTGCCCTGTGCCTCTGAGTGAGGAGAGGTGCAGGAACTATAAAACTGCTCCAAACTCCTTTTCAAACACATCCTGAATTGTTATCCAAGTACACAGGTTTCCAAAAAGCTCCTGAAAAGCCATAAAAATATTTCCTCTACCAACAAATAGCATTCAGAATTAACCATGAACATCATCACTGCGAAACAAACCATAAATACCATAATTTCTAAGTAAGCAACAAATGTTCTTTTTTCTAGCATTTGCTGAGGCTCCAGTGGTGAGGAGGAAATGGCTTCAGCCAGGACAAACTTTTGGTGACAGCACCAAAATGCCAGAGCCTGGTAGGAAGGGGAAGGTGATGGAGATGAACATCAAAGGGTTTTACTCTCCACCCCTCCAATTCTGCAGCTTTTCAATACCATAGCACCATTCCCCCTCCCAAACTC